TCCATAATATTCTATGCAGACTTCCCCTTTATTGAGTCGTGAACGTAAATTTATCAGACCTGTTGTAACAATGAAAGTTTTACGAGTTTATTCGCTTCTTCAGGCTCGTCTCTCGTACCGTGAAATCTTATTTGGAATATTCTGGGAATTAGATTGAAAGTAGAAAACACCACGAATAGAATTACATTTTGTCTCTAATATACACCGGTAATTCGGTAAAAGTTCCATAATTTTTCTTTGAGCCCAGATATGTACCTACATGACATTATAAGCGCGAAAGTTTGTTAGAATGTATGGATGTGTGTTTGCCGGTCATGACATATGGCGCTGAAACGTGGACATTGACCGTAGGTTTGGTTCGTAAGTTCAAAGTCGCTCAGCGTGCTATGGAAAGGTGTATGCTCGGAGTTTCTTTGCTAGATCGAGTCAGAAATGATGAAATTCGTCAAAGAACCAAAGTAACCGACATAGGCCTAAAGATTAGCAAGCTGAAATGGCAATGGGCCGGACATACGTGTCGCAGGACCGATGGCCGATGGAGCAGACGTGTTCTGGACTGGGGACCGCGTACCGGTAAGCGCAGCGTTGGGCGTCCCCTTGCCCGTTGGACTGAAGACTTGCGGCGATATGCTGGAAAAGATTGGATGCGGAAGGCGCAGGATCGTTCATTGTGGCGGACCATGGGAGAGGCCTACATCCAGCAGTGGAAAAATACAGGCTGATGATGATGATGATGATGTACCTACAAAGCCAATGACTGATACAGAAGATACTATAACTTAAATGTCAAAGCCAGTGCAATACAACACCTTTCATCTTATTCAAAACTAAATCGGTTATTATTATTATTATTATTTTTATTGCCCTTGTAGTCAAACGAGATTCAGCCCACCTGATGGTGAGTGGTTACCGTCGCCCATGGACTTCAGCAATTCCAGGGGCAGAACCAAGCCGCTGCCTACCGCTTAATACTCCCACAAGCCTCGTTTGAAGAAGGACATATCATAGCGCACGGAAAACACCGTGGAGGAGAGCTCCTAAAGCCGGATGGTAAGTGGCAAGAAATACCTCTGGAAACGCACTGTGGATGACCGCAGTGGCTCCAAGTAGTATGGATTAACTCTAGTCCGGTGGCGGGCGGTGCGATGGTAAAAACCAGATGATGGTATCATCTCGAATAACTCCTCATACTATTATTTTGGATAAAAACAGCATCACAAGGACTTTTTCGCTATTCACTAATTTTTAACAGATAAAAAGATGTACGGCCGCTACAAAGTCCACCACCACATTCAGGTAGAATGGTATTCTTTGTTTTATTACCTTAGCAGGCAGAGGGGAAAACGACTCATCCGGTGGTCAGTAATTACCATTGCTTATGAACGTCAGCGGTATCAGGGGTACAGCCAAGTCACAGCCTGCTTCAACTTATTTGGAGGAAGCTAGGAAAGAGGTACCGGAAAAGAAGATAAGAATTAAATATGACAATGAAAAAGAAGGTGATAAGGAAAAGCGGATAGTAATATAAAATACTATATTCACAAGCGCGTTTAATTAAGAAAACCCTAAATGTAGATGTTTCAATCTTATGTTTTGAACATATTGTGGACCTTGGCCCTTTTCTAGAGTAGGCCTCTCCTTCTTTCGCTTCCAGAAGAAAAGAGGCTTTAGCCACAAAACTGTAAAATCGCAGAACGACTACATCAGTCATCTTCTTCGCCATTAGTTTCTTAACTCCCGGAATCCTAATCACCTATAGTGGGTCTGGTATGTACGTAGCTGAAAACTAACCATTACCAATTTTACCAACATTACCAATCGGGATAATAACAAAGGAGGCTGCAACTAATACCCGTTAACCTCTTCGAACTCGCACCACCATTAAAGAAGGTTTTATTAACACTAGATTTAACGAGGTGATTTTTGACAGTTTATACTGGTAAGAGTGTAATTCAAATGTTTACGACGATTCTACCCTATGTGCATCCAGTTTTATTGGATCATGCTATCAACAAATGGGGCAAACAGTCCACCTGCTCTTCACTCGTGCAGTATTCTCAAATGTTAACTTGTTATTTAATTTGTCATATGAAATTGAATTGTCATTGAAATTTGGTAATTATCTACGAAAAATAAAAGGCTACATGATTCCTGCACGATGATAATTATTTGTATAACCACTATTTAGTTACATAATTCAAGTACATCCCACTGTTTTTTTTTATCCAACCTATGCTGATTTAAGAGGCTATGTCCAGCGTAACCCTTACGAATAGGTGAGCTCTTGGTGCTCAAACCTGACGGCGTTGCACTAACCCTAGCAATAGCAGTGCTTCGCAGAATCTACCACCGATTCGGAAACACGACCCACTGAGAAAATCCGGCGGGAAACTCAGTGGACTGTGTCTGTGGGTTAATTTACTCGCCGAGCCCTTCGTCACAAGCGACGGGTTCAGCGCAAACGATGACCGGATTGCACTGGTTGTTCGATTTTCGTAAAACTATTTTTTTTCGCCAAATGTTAGTAGACTTTTGTATCCATAGGCAGTAAATATTATTATGAAAACAACAAAAATATTATTTTCTGCGGTCTCGTTTTTTTTTAATTATTATTTTTCACTATTTAATGGATTTTGATCATTGAATTACTATGTTTTTTTGTTTTAAACTTCTATTATTAGAATTCTAACATTACCTCTCACGTGCCTAACAAGTAAACCGTGAAAATGTTTGGAAACAGCTCGTCCATTAGCACATTCTTGCATCATTGCCATTAAATTACAAAGAATGAAAAACAAATAATATTTACATTTGAAAATGATGATGTAAGATTCAATCATTTCGTTCAGTATGTGAGTACTCTAGCTCTTTAAGATATCAAATGCTAGATGTAATTATTATTGTCTCGTGTGATATAAATAATAGTGACATTAAAAACAGTGGTTTGGCCGCTACACTAGCTAGCTGTGCAGTACGGCAGCTTCTAATTTGTCTTGCTTTGGCCCAAGATCCAATCGGAAAGGAACCTAAATAATTAGAATAATAAACAGTGCTGTGTGCATGATCGATCCGGTATACATAATATACATACAAAGGTAAATTTAGTAATAAGTGTTTTAAAAAATATAATAACTTACTAGATAGGGCGTAAGAAACCTTTCTTACAAGTTAATACAACTAGCGATAGGATATATTCTAAGCCCGCACGGGTAGGTACCGCCACCCTGCCTATTTGTGCCGTGAAGCAGTAATGCGTTTCGGTTTGAAGGGTGGGGAAGCCGTTGTAACTATACTTGAGACTTTAGAACTTATATCTCAAGGTGGGTGGCGCATTTACGTTGTAGATGTCTATTGGCTCCAGGTGGGCTGTGAGCTCATCCATCCATCTAATAAAAAATTTCAAAAACAGACTTCGACTTCACATCTTAAGTTGTAGGTTTGGGCATACACGGTTATCTCTTTTTATCTCTAAAAAGAATATTGCCCATCTAGGCTGATGAGCATACGGCCCACCTAGTAGTAGTGTCAATGCACTTTTTTTATTGCTTAGATGGGTGGACGAGCTCACAGCCCACCTGGTGTTAAGTGGTCACTGGAGCCCATAGACATCTACAAAGTAAATGCGCCACCCACCTTGAGATATAAGTTCTAAGGTCTCAGTATAGCTAGACTACCACCAGTGTTAGCCCCTTAGGCAACCAGAGAATAGGTACGATAAAAAAATAACACTTAACACAGCGAAGTATATCTGCTCCTCACTAGTTGAAGTCTATTTTCGTTTCGACCCAAACAGTTTGAAGATCACGTCTCGGCTTCTGATTTTCGCTCAAAATTTATGCACATTTTATGGTGTTGTCGTCTGCTTGTTTAAGCTGTCTACTTGTGGCTTTATTCGTTTGAATCTGCATAAATTTGTAGTGGGGATATTAAAGTGAAACAGCTTTTAATATAAATATATGTCGTGGATAACGACTTTTAGTAATATTAAGACGTAGTTTTGATTATTATTTTAAATGATAAAATGTTGTTTTGATAAATATAACAAAAATGTAGACTCCGTAACGCCAGGCGGTACGTGGACAGAGTCGTTGCATTCCGTCTCAGACAGGCAGCCTTAGTATGTCATTCCGCGTTAGACAGTCATTCAGTCCGTGTCAGACAGTCAGTCCGTCTCAGTCAGTGAGTCTCAGGCAGTCAGTCAGTCGGTCTGTTGGTATGTTGGGACGAAACTGTCGGTTTACCCTGTCATTGTGAAAATTGTGTGTTGAGAGTTTCAATAATTATTATTCAAAAGGTGTTATTGAATTTTATTGAAAATAATTGTAATAAACTGAGTTCAACCGAATACGGGTGATGACGGAAACTAACGCAGAGCCTTCCCTGGCGTTCCGTCATATATTTAATATAATAATTTAAAATATGATGATGCTCTTTGATTGTTTATTGCATTCAATATACAGTTTCCAATATTCTAATTAATAGTTATTATACATAGACAAGTGACGAGCTCACGGCCCATCTAGTGATTAACAGAATCCTTTGAGACTACAATAATGTCCACGTTAGCGCGGTCTCCGTTAATGCTTATTCGAAGTTGTCCGATTGCGCTGAACTAATTTTAAGTGAAATAGATGTTTTTTCTAATTGTCTCACAACATACAGGAAAAATCTGTTGCGGCCCATTTCCCAATTAAATATAAATTGATCTAAAGCAATCAATCAAATGTATTCAAGTTTTAGTTATGTATATATTTTTTATTTTGTTGTCAATGCACTGTCGATTGCACCTATAATTGAGATGACATCTGCCATGAACTTTTGTCAGTTTATCAATGTATTGTACTGATGATCACTTTGTTGGTGCAACTTAATAAATAAATAAATGGTAAACGAAGCCAATAGACATCATAACGTGAATACGTTTTATTCAATTTTCAAATTTCCCATTTCAGTTTCCACCATAATTTCATGCGCACCAAACGTTCACAGAGAACCCAAACATGAAGCTAAATTTACTATTGTGTTTTCTGATCAACATATCCTTGTTACCGGATTCGAAACCCAGCATCAGATACTGCGATTTCACTACGAATGACCGTTCGAAATATTGCTATGCAAAGGAAATATTGCTCGCGATCACTCACAGCCCGAATCAATTAGCCGTTGATAAATCATCAAACACACTGTATTTTAGTTTCGACATGGGCCAAGGGGATTTCGTTCCTGCCGTATTCAACATGGACAATAAAAAACTAACCGTATTGAATGGCGTTAGGGATGCTTTCGCGTTAGCCAGCGACGACAGCAGTAATATCTATTTCGGAGGGAACAACGGCATATACAGATACGAGAAACAATCTCTGAAACAATTGAACATCAAGAACTTGGACATTTGGTGGCTTTACATACGGAACAATATATATTTTATAAAATTTCCCAATTTGGAAGCACACTACTATAAGAACATGACCGTTAAAGAGTTACCCGAACTCAAAGGGAAGGTAGTGCATCAGTTTGTGTTAGACAAACAAGGTAACGTATTTTTCATAAACGGCTCCGGTCTGTATGGAGTTCGACGCGGAAGACATCGCGATATCATGCTGAGAGACAACCCTAAGTTCTTGGGAATGGCCACGGACAACAACGGCGATGTGTATGTTTGCAGCGAAGACGGTATATACGTCGTCAGCAAGATGGTGATAAAGGTTAAAAAAATCGTGAACGTTCAAGGCGTACTGGGACTCACATTCGACAAACTGAACAATATCGTGTACACGAACGCGTATGAGATAGTTCGTCTTGTGCCGATGACTAGAAAAAGATCTTTATTTAGTTTTGTATAATCTGCTAATATTCGCATAGGCTTAACAGGGACTACGTAAAAATTACATTTAATTTTTTTTATTGCTTAGATGGGTAGACGAGCTCACAGCACACCTGGTGTTAAGTGGTTACTGGAGCCCATAGACATCTACAACGTAAATGCGCCACCCACCTTGAGATATAAGTTCTAAGCTCTCAGTATAGTTACAACGGCTGCCCTCCCCTTCAAACCGAAACGCATTACTGCTTCACGGCAGAAATAGGCAGGGCGGTGGTACCCACCCGCGCGGACTCACGAGAGGTCCTACCACCAGTAAATAGTTTGTGTTCATAATAGTTGTAGTTTGTTTTAATCTGTACGATTTGTCCAAATAACCCTGTTATCATAATGATAACAACCCCAATGTTTGATATAGTAATTGATTAATGTTTATGATAAAAATTATTTTATGCGAGTACCAGCCCACTGAGTTGCTCGACGGATCTTCTCAGTGAGTCGCATTTCCGATCCGGTGATAGTTTCTGCGTAGCACTGCTCTTGCTAGGGCTAGTGTTCGCAACACTTCTGGAGCCCCGTAAGCTCACCTACACGTCAAGGCGAAACTGAAATAGCCTCTCAAGGCTATTAGCATAGGTAGGAAAAAAAATATTAAAAAAAAAATGCGAGTTCCCAACCTCTTAGCTCATGGTGGTACACGAATTGACTGGAAAATGAATGACTTCAATATAAAATGCATCCGTATGCAATACAATATGCGTGCTTGCTCGTACATAATCTATCAATAATATATGAAATAGTTAACTATACTTGAGACCTTAGAACTTATATCTTAAGGTGGGTGGCGCATTTATGTTGTAGATGTCTATGGGCTCCAGTAACGACTTAACACCAGGTGGGCTGTGAGCTCGTCCACCCATATAAGTAATAAAAAAACAAAAAAACAAAAAAATAGAATTACCATTGTTTTTTTTATATTTAATTACCATCTACTGCATAAATAGTAATAAGATATATACCAAGGAAACCTTTATAAAACTATATAAATAAACAATCGATTCCTTCTATCCGGAATGTATCAGAAACAGATTGATTCTTCGATCTGTCAATTTGCAAACGTCGAGATGATAATGGACATCTCCCACTGAGAGCGCTACCGTGTACATTGTGCAGAGCAAACACATATTTACATTGAATTCGGGCGATCTTCGAATTTCCGTGGCGATTTATTTACTAGCGTTCGATTTATTTATAGATACACACATTAGTCGTGCGTAGTTTGCATCAAAATAAATAATGTGTCGTCCACTGTCTATTTTTTAATTATTTCATCCATATAATTTTTATTGGAGCATGCAATTTGGTTGGTTGAATGGTTAAAGTCGTCGTGGCCTAAAGGATAAGACACCCGGTGCATTCGTGTTGAAGCGATGCAACGGTGTTCGAATCCCGCAGGCGGGTACAATTTTTTGTAATGAAATACGTACTCAACAAATGTTCACGATTGATTTCCACGGTGAAGGAATAACATCGTGTAAAAAAAACAAACCCGCAAAATTATAATTTGCGTAATTATTGGTGATAGGACCACTTGTGAGTCCGCGCGGGTAGGGGCCACCACTCCGCCTATTTCTGCCGTGAAGCAGTAATGCGTTTCGGTTTGAAGGGTGGGACAGCCGTTGTAACTATACTTGAGACCTTAGAACTTATATCTCAAGGTGGGTGGCATATTTACGTTGTAGATTTCTATGGGCTCCAGTAACCACTTAACACCAGGTGGGCTGTGAGCTCGTCCACCCATCTAAGCAATAAAAAAAAATGGTTTAATTTTCGTGGGTCATGGCTAATACTATGACTGTGTATGTAAACAAAAAATAGCACTAAACCATTTTCAATCATATCTATGTCACGAAAACTTCAGAAAAACCACTACCTTTTGGTTCGAGCGAAATCAATAATGCAGCAATACCTATGACGGCGCGTTGCTTCAACCCGCCACGTTCTAAATAATGGAGAATGCAAGCTGCCAGACGTTATGACAACTGTCTACATATTATTAACATTTCGAATTCCACTACTAATACAAAAAAAAATAGGTGACATACAATGATCAAAAAAATAGGTGATGCTTATTCAATTTCTTTATTGACTAGACCATTGAACCAGGTGGTCGCGAGTCAACTGATTTAAAGTATTTACCGCAGCCTATGGACATGACAATGTCAATGCCGCAACCCACCTTGTGACATGAGGTCTCAAACGAGTAATCTAGCATTAAAACTGTAACGAAATCTCTTTCTAAACCCAAAAAAAATTACCGAAAATTTTACACAAATTTTTGTTGGCCGATTAATTTTATCAATTGAAACAACGAACAATGAACACAAAGGAGTAAAATGAGTCTGACACTAACGATCCCAAAGACAATCCAAGTGTAATGCTGCAGAAACTCACCCATCTACAGACGCACACATGACTACCACTAAACGACCTACATACAAAAGTAGAAATTAAATGTTTTTGCGTTAACCCAGACGAAACTGTTTTTACTTTTATTTTAGTATAGACAAAGCGCTCCTAGTATTTAGTCCACTATGATCGAATGTACTCGAAACGCTTCGAGCCGCCAGACCTGGAAGCGCATTTCCTGGAGGGCGGTCCTCGAAAGTATGGTAGCCCACTGAGTTTCTCGCCGGATCTTCTCAATGGGTCGCATTTCCGATCCGGTGGTAGATTCTGCGAAGCACTGTGCTCTTGCTAGGGTTCGTGTTAGCAACATCGTCAGGTTTGAGCATCGTGAGCTCACCTACTAGTTAAGGTTACGCTGAAATAGTCCCTCAAGGCTATCAGCAGAGGTAGAAAAAAAAAAGTAAGTCCGCCCCCCCCCCACCCCCTCCAGGGCTTGGCCCCTGGACCCCGGCTCCATACTCCACGGGTGCTAAGTTTTTTACAATGTCGAACTTTTGGCCTGGTAGGAGAAAAAATAGTATGTGCATCGCGGGAAAAAAGTAAGACATCTCAATTTTACACGCGGGAGGAAATGTTCAATTTTTCTCCCTTGGTGCACAATGTACTATAGTATTTATTACTCCTATTGAGGCGACACCGAAAATGCCTTCAATATTTTCCGAGCGCCCTTTCTCACTGACAACTCTTCTGAGAGGACGGCAATTTGGTGTGGGCTTTTAAGTATGTAGCTCGCTTTTGAATATACGAAACTATTTCTTGAGAATTTCGATCAGTTGATTTTACATAGTTACTCCTCGCTTCTGGCCTACATGTCGGAAGCAATTCCTTAACATGACCAGTGCACTGTTAAGCATGTGTGCGTGTGCCTACGCATCCTGGGATTTATTCGACGAATATAGGCCAGTGTGTAACTAGCAAGCAAGTGTTTCACACGTCTATCCCTCGTATATAACAGTGATGGCGAGGATGGGATCTGAACCCATGGAAGATCGGCCACTTTGTCTGATACCCTCAATTACCCCTTGCACTACCAGACGCTCGGCCGAAGATACGTTAACTAGTCAATAGTTTTCAAAACGTGACAATCGATGGCGAAATACTCAAACAGGACAGTCACAACTTTGATCTGGACTGACCATCACATCCACACTCCTAAAAATTTGGCCACGTGCCCAACCTCAACATTTTCTTCCGAATTATACCTCAATATTCCTGTTATCATTTCCCTCCCCCGAAATCGCGGATTAATTCCCCTGCCTGGCAACACTGGTACCATAGATTATTGTTTTAACGTGAAATCTGTTAATACCCGTGTTCCATAAATACGGGCTTTATTATCAAGGAAGACATTGCTTCGTTAAAAGCACAATTTGACGGGCTGACTATGCCCTGCTGCTATCGTATAATGCGAGCACGCTGGGGACCCAATCAGATCTTAATGATACGGTAATCGCATATCTGTTCCTCAATTTGGCTGTGTAATGACGTCAGTATCGAATTACATTCAGATGCTTGATGTTTCTGTTCAAGTTAATTCACATTGCTATGTAGCCATACATAATTATTCTACTCATAGTGACGGATAACATCAGTCAATTGTAAGTCAGTCATTCAAAGAACTAAACAGAATTTAATACTAACATTTTTACGGTATAGTTAAGTAAGCAAGCCCTTTTTTATTTATTGCTTAGATGTGTGGACGAACTCACAGCCCACCTGGTGTTAAGTGCTTACTGGAGCCTATAGACATCTACAACGTAAACGCGCTATTCACCTTGAGATATAAGTTCTAAGGTCTCAGTATAGTTACAACGGCTGCCCCATCCTTCAAACCGAAACGCATTACTGCTTCAGGGCAGAAATAGGGGGGGTGGGGGCGCGGAACCACAAGAGGTCCTATCACCAGTAATAATAATAATATATCCAGGTGTGTGGCGACATTTACGTTGTAAATATCTATGGGCTCCGGTATCCACATCACACCAGGTGGGCCGTGCGTCCGTCCACACATCTAAAATATAAAAAATAAAGTAATAAATGAATAGACATCATAACCTGATTCATTCATCATTCATCATAGTATTGCAGCTGTTCCGTACTTCAAATCGGAAAGCGTGACTGCTTTCCAGCATTAATAGGCAGCATGGTACCTAATTAAGCAGGCTTACAATATACCACCAATTAGCGACGCCACACACGGAATGAGATGGGAAGATTCTACACAGCCCATAATCTCAAGTTTTAACAATTTCCCTTTTTTTAGACATCTACGACGTAAATGCGCCACCCACCTTGTGATATAAGTTCTAGGGTCTCAACTATAGTTACAACGGCTGCCCCATCCTTCAAGCCGAAACGCATTACTCCTTCACGCCAGAAATAGGCAGGGCGGTGGTACCTACTCGCGCCGACTCACAAGAGGTCCTACCACCAGTATATCCCTGTCAATTTCAACCGGATATTATGCTATATGGTGTTAGTTTAAGTAATCTAAAACTCAAAGTCAATATAAAATCTTTTTACAATCCGGGCCACAATGTACTTTCGCTAATG